GGCGACGACGCACTGCCGCCGCGGCTCACGCCGGCCAGCCTTAACGGCTACATCTCGGCGCCGCCGAGACCCACCTACACCCTCCTGCCCGCCATGCACCAGCCCGGCCCGCCGATTGGCCAGTTCGGTCGGCTCTCGTCGCCCGGACTCGGACTGGCCATCCTCTCCGCCACCGGCCAATCGCCGCCCGCCAACGCCAACGCCAACGCCACCGCCAGCAACAACATCAACTCGGGCGACTGCTCGACTCCGGCCGCTCTTTCCGTCAAACTGGCACCGCCCCCGCCTCACAATTCACACGACCCCGGCCTCCTCGTGAGGCCTGGCAACGCCGTCTCCGAGGCGCTGATGCGACCGAGTCCCATCCATCATTTGCCGCAACAAACTTTCTCGTCCGGCCTCGAGCACTGAACATTGTCCCGGCTCAACAAGCCGGACAACCTTGTAAGGAAGTCCCCCTGTCTCTCTTCTCTCGTTCACACACAAACACACAAACACACACACACGAAATTTCGTGATACCAGTGTGAGATGAAAGAGAACTTTATTGCAATCACCTGTACACTGATTCCTCAATCAGGTGTCCGTTATCCCGAGATTCGGCTTCTTTATATATATTTATATATACATAATTATAAATATAAATATATATATATATATATATTGCCATTTGTATTGGCAGATAGCCTACTCGTTTGCATTTCAGTAGGCACCAAGTCTTCCATTTTTAAAGTGCCTTTTGCCTTGTGTACAAAAGTTGAACCGCAACTGCTTCATTACATCGTTTACGCTCCGGTTTACTTGTGCTTTCCAAGTAATCTTATCATTTCCACCCTCTCTTTTCGCTTCACGCCAGCTCGCAAGCCTCTTCTGTACATTTTAGACGGTTCTTTCATACCTCCCATATCCCCCAAAGCTGGCCTCAACGGCTTGCACATGCAGCGACCGAACAGAGGCCACCTTTACCTGCTGCCCATTGGCGCTCTCTCGTCGGCCTCGTGAC